AGAGAGAGAGAGAGAGAGAGAGAGAGAGAGAGAGAGAGAGAGATTTCCACTTTCTCTCGACACTTTCGGAAGCAATTCGCTCACAGAGAGAGAGAGAGAGAGAGAGAGAGAGAGAGAGAGATATTTCCACTCTCTCTCGACACTTTCGGAAGCAATTCGCTCACAGAGAGAGAGAGAGAGAGAGATAGAGAGAGAGAGAGATATTTCCACTCTCTCTCGACACTTTCGGAAGCAATTCGCTCACAGAGAGAGAGAGAGAGAGAGAGAGAGAGAGAGAGAGAGAGAGAGACGGGAAGAAGCTTTTTTCTCTCCCCCGCGAGAAAGGGAACAGTTTTTTGGGGTAGAAGGAAGGAGGTGGATTTTTTTAAGGACGATTGTATATATACCCATGTGTATATTGAAGGGTTTTGAAATTGCCGTGTTTTTTTAATTTTCATCACGGTTTTTATTTTTTAGTGCGCTACGCTACCACGTCTCTGTTTTATTGGCTCCCAGGTTAAAAAAATGATTTTAGAAGAGGAGGCTGCGAGGAGATCACCTCCATCTAGGGAGTATCTGAGGCTGCAAGGACATCGTCTCCCTGTGCGAGGAGATAATCTGCGGTGGCAGTTGTTGGGTGGAAAAGATTGAGAGGAAGGCGTCATTATAATTGTTACACGCGTTTTCGATTTTTCGAATCTGGGCATTAATTTTTTCGCTTTTTCTGATTTGACCATTTTTCGATTTCTCTATGGCGTTTTTTCGATTTTTTTGGGTTGTTTTCCTATCTTCTATTTTGCTATTTTTTTATTTGTATTTTGCCGTTTCTCCGATTTGTATTGTGCGTGTTCGTCTTTTTTTTTTTTTTTTTTTTTTTACCTCCATCTGTTTTCGTTTGCTTAATGGATCGTTTTGTGGGTTCGTTAGCCTCTGTCCTTGTGTGTTGCGTCGCTGTGCTTTTGCTTTTGAAACTTAAAGATGTGTATCTCCCTTGAAATCAAAGATATGTTCCTTCCTGAAAATCAAAGATGAAAAATAAAAATAAAAATAAAAATAAAAATAAAAACAAAAACGAAGATCTGTACCTTTCCTAATATGGCTGAATGGTGTAGACAGGCAAATGCCATCATCGGGCTATTACAATCGTATATCCTTCATGGCAATTGCCTGTCTGCCATCATGAACGATATACGATTGTATCAGCCCGATGAAAAATAATAAAAATAAAAGTAAACAGCTCTGTAATGTTGAACTTCATGAGCTGTTTATTTTTATTTTCATTTTTCATCGGGCTGTTACAATCGTATATCCTTCTGCTCCCTGGCAGGATTTGAACTCCTCTGTTTACTAACAAGTATGGATGTGTATACCGGTATTTATATCCTTCTGCTCCCTGGCAGGATTTGAACTCATCTGTTTACTAACAAGTATGGATGTGTATACCATACCGGTCAGACACATGAGCTGGGTCTGGTTATTATAATGGTAACTGATATGTAATTGGGCGCTCCCTGCATTCTTACACTACGTACGTCGTGACTTCAAAGCTGCTCGGAGCGTGCGAACTTTTCTTGCAATGCTTCGGTACATGCAAAACAATTGCGATTCTATTGAACTCGTTGTTCTTGAAACCGCTCCACAACGGCGCGCTCCTTGTCCTTCTCCTCCGGCCTTCCCCCCCGTTCTCTCTCTCTCTCTCTCTCTCTCTCTCTCTCTCTCTCTCTCTCTCTCTCTCTCTCTCTCTCTTCTCTCTCTCTCTCTCTCTCTCTCTCTCCGAGTTGTGTTCGCTTCGAGAACCACAGCTTTGGGAGCAAGTGCAGTGCCAAATACGTTGTGTACACGCTCCTTGTCCTTCTCCTCCGCCCTTTCCCCCCGTTCTCTCTCTCTCTCTCTCTCTCTCTCTCTCTCTCTCTCTCTCTCTCTCTCTCTCTCTCTCTCCGAGTTGTGTTCGCTTCGAGAACCACAGCTTTGGGAGCAAGTGCAGTGCCAAATACGTTGTGTACATAGGTGTGTCTTCGGCATCAGTCCTCGTTTAATCTCTCTCTCTCTCTCTCTCTCTCTCTCTCTCTCTCTCTCTCTCTCTCTCTCTCTCTCGCCGTAGTTGTGTGGTCGCTTCGAGAACCACAGCTTTGGGAGGAGCTGCAAATACATCGTGTAGAGCACAAGTTCTGTTCATATGTTGTGTACATAGGTGTGTCCTCGGCATCTATCCCAGTCCAATCTCTCTCTCTCTCTCTCACACACACACACACACACACGCATATTATGTGCATCCAAGTGTCGTGCCGGGTTATTCGCTTTGTGTTTATGTATTAGTTGCCTGTTTACTCGTTTATTTATTCCTGCTTTGCTTCGAGTCCTGGATGCCTTGCGCCTTGCGCACTAATTATCTATCGACAGGGACGGTCTTTTTTTTTTTTTTTTTCCTTGCGCAGGGGCCATGCTAATCTTGTCTGTATCGTTCCAATTTTAACGGATGTCCCGAAGGACTTATTTGTGCCGTTTCGTTATAACGGCGACTACATTTCCACGTGACGTCCGGGCGGGCAGAGATTGGCTGGAGCGTTTGGCAGCGTAAGAAGGAGAGGAGAAGAAACGTATGGAAAATATGTCTGAGGTTACATACTCGCACTGGGACTTTGTTAACGGAATCTGTACTCGTTTCTGAGGGCACATGCATTCGGGCAAATCCTGTCGTGAGTACCCCCTTACTGGCCGGCGCCGGCGATGGATAGAAGTCCGTCGGCACTTGAACGCGCACATATGCACAGAGAGGTATCCGGCAACTGTTGAGGTTAACGTGTACCATGATATGGAACCGGATACGAACACTTGGATAGACGTCAACACCTACGGGTGTTACTTCAGCAAACAGTGTAAGTAGAGCGTATATCGAACAGGATATGAACGTGTGGATTGCTTCAGCGAGCGGCCAAACAGGCAGGTTTTCACGCTTTCAACGGTCCTGCCAGGCACCCCATGGATTGGACTACAGTGGAAGTTATTCTGCCACCAAAAGCTGAGAAGCGCCAGGAGAAATACAGTGCCCCTGTTAGTAACAGGGTTGCCATTTGTCCCCAGGTACTTGGTCACAGCCCGAGAAGCTTGGACTTGTTGCGTTGATAAGGATGAGGGGTAGGCACCATTTCCATAGACCGTGAGCACCTCGGTGGAGCATGGTGAGCACAGCTGGGAGGATGCGTGCTGGTCCACTGTGAGCACGATGAGCAGCTGCGAAAATGCTTGTGACATACAATCTCACGGCCAGTGTGGCTTTTGCCCTGGGTTGAGCACGGTGAGTAGCTCGGAGGATGCTTGCTGGTCGACTGTGATTACGATGAGCAGCAACGAGGATATGCTGGTGACGAGCAACCTCACGCATGGTGCGGCTTCCATGGACGGGGGGCCCCAGGAGAGTGCAGAAAAAGGGGTGCGGTAAGGAATTCAGGAGGAGAGGGTTGGGGGGGGGGGGGGGGGGGGGTGTTGGAGGTCAGAACTGGGTTGCTGTGTATAGGCTCTGGCGCGGAGCTGGTTATGGTCGGGAAGGATGGTTTTCTGTTAATCAAAATGAGTTTGCGATTGAGTTCTAGGTCAGAACTGGGTTGCTGTGTATCGACTCTGGCGCCGAGCTGGTTATGGTCGAGAAGGATGGTTTTCTGTTAACCAAAATGAGTTTGTCAGGCTGATTATCAGACCCAAAAAGGAGAGGGACCTGCTTGTTCAACAATTCCAACGGCCAGTGGTGACCCTTTCCTCTTCTTTTGCCAGTACCAAATGTCAGAGGTGCACATGCCGGACCGCAGAGACTGGCTATGGCACGTTTATGCGTTTCGCAAAGTTCGGACTCCGAGTTGTGTGGAAGTTGCTCCGTTTCGCTAACTTATGCCTCGCTGTCTCACTGTGGGTCATGTAAAGGCATGCAGTCTCCCGGCAGTGATCGTCACTTCTACACTCCAAGCAGAATGTCTTACGCCAAAGAGCCAACGAGGAGCGATGGCTGGCAGGAGATGTCAAAAAGAGAGAGAAGGGGGCATATGGAATTTCCACACAGATATTTGCTAGGGAACAGATAGAGAGGATGGATTCATGTGGTGGGTTCGGACACATCCCATTTGCATATACGTGTCTGCCAATCGTTACAGGGAAATTCGGGTACGTCTGTCATGCCCCAACCTCACGCTCAGCACGACTACCTGATCGGAGTGGGAGCGGCCCGGAAGTTGCAAAAAAGGGGATGTGCCAAGGATTTTAGGAAAGTGGGGTGGAATCCCAGGTCGGAACTGGAATCTCCTGTGCCAAGGTTCCAAGGACAGAGTGCAAGAGGTTCAGACGAAAAGGGGCTTTCTTAGTTCGGGGCTTTCATGGCCGGGTATTCAGGATGGCCGGTTTTGGCGCCTAGGATGGGGCCAAATGCAGTGTATGGGAGGAATTCAATGGATACTTTGTTGCTGGACACACGGCGACCACGGAGTTCGTATATCTGTGTCTGACGTGGACGGTCTTAGTCGGAAGCGGTGTTCTTGATGCTTAGCCTCGGTACAAGCCCGCCAGATGAAGCCTGACATCCGGTAAGGGTAGTCGTGATCTGTTAATTCAAAAGGACACCGAAATTCCATGCGATGAATTCACAGTAATACTGCCGTTCCTATCCATGCAGAAGTGTACCAATAGTACGGTCCTTAGGGGGGTACCTTGTGCAAGCGCGCATATATGTGACGAGTGTCTTACTGGCTGACTGTAATGTATACACGTGGCATGGAATCCGTTCACAAAGCAACTCGAGGCGACCAACTCCGCTATTTCCCATCAATTCCAGCGGACTATGGTTATGCATGCATCCATGTTCTTCAATCATTCAGTCTTCCGACATAACTAGGAATTTTGCATACCGATTGAGAAGATCAGGCCGCAGTCATCACACACGACATCGTCCATAAACAGGAAAGAGGTACGAGAAAAACTCCTTAGAAAAGGAGGGATCCACACAATCATACATAAGTTACAAAAGCAAAAATGGCGAAAGCCGAAACCAAAACTTATAGAGGGCCAGGAGAGAAGTCCCCACAAACCCCCAGGATCCCACACGCTCTCACTGCTTCACCATCCTCCTCTGTACTCCGATGCAGGCAGTCCGCTGCCTCGCACCTACCAAAAACCCAGAGCTGTCACCCTGCTTAGCCCGAGTACGCACGCCGAGTTCGCTCATGCTCCACAGTCCGTCATGGCGGCAGTTAACCCTGCACACTCGCCACCAGCTCGTCGGATTGCCCAACTCTGAATTCACTGATACTCGTTAGCCGATCCAACTCCCCTAAGTTTAGATTAGAAAGGGATTTAGTCGCACTTGCAAAATTTATAAATATTAGCATATGCGCGAGATCGCCGGATTACGCTGAGGCAAGGGGAGAGAGAAAGAAAGGAGGTGCGCACGGTCGGATGCTTGGGCCGCGGCACGGGGGACGTAGCCACTCTCCACGCATCGATTCAGTCCTACACTGCTCTGGTCTCTTATACACATCTAGATGTGTATAAGAGAAAGGGATTTAGTCGCGCTTGCAAAATTTATAAATATTAGCATATGCGCGAGATCCCCGGATTACGCTGAGGCAAGGGGAGAGAGAAAGAAAGGAGGTGCGCACGGTCGGATGCTTGGGCCGCGGCACGGGGGACGTAGCCACTC